CTGAAAGAGGAAGAGAGAAAGCTCTGTCAGGTATAAAATGTCTGTGTTCTTTTCCCTATTTTGGGGAGGGCACACGGGTGAGATGGTGACCTGGGAAGAATGGAAAGTGAGTATGATCTGGGGGCATTCTCAAAGAATTAATAAGATGCTATTTTTAAAAGAACGCTCTACATTTAGTCATTTTATAAGATTTTCTTAAAGACTTTAAGATTCACTAAATCTATGCTCATTGCATACCAATGTGAATTTGGTTTTCTGTTCCCTCCATTAAAAGCAATTCAAAGTATAAGAAGACAGGCACATGCATAAAGAAAATAAACTATGTGTGAGATACCCTGTTATAAGGAATCAAAGGCTGACTTTATTGTAACAATAGACGATGCTGTGAAGGTAAGCTATTCAAGGAAGGGAAGAAATGAATCTTTAAAGCAGAGAAGCAATACATTTTCACACACACACACACACAAATACAGGTAGAAGTATTTTTTCAGCAATTATTTAAATGGAAAGAAATTGTAGAATTCTGAGTGAGCCATAGAAAAAAAAATCACTATGAATCAGAATAAACCAGATTACCCTACCTCCTGGCTAATCTTTTCTTGATCGTACTGGCCAATTCCTTAGTCTCTCTCTCTCTGGGTTTAAACTCCCTCTTCAGGTTTAAACTTGCTAAATGACAAGGTTATGCTAACTCAACCACCAGTCACTGAAGAACACATAACCGCTGAATGCTTAGTCAGTCATGAGAGCAGGACACCTGTGTCCCCTCAAAGGTCTAGGGGACATCATGGAAGAAAGCAGAAAGAGTGCAAGGCACAGCAGAAGTGCTGGTGTGGCCCGGACCCCATTCTCTGGGCTGGCACGGCTGCTGACTACAGGCAGCGGCTCTGGTTACCCGAGTAGACTGTCCTTCAACATCTCCTCACACAGGGACTAGCTCATGAAGCCACCTCCCCTGAGAATTTCCAGACAACTCATAGTTGCTGGAAGAGGGAAAGGCATTTTCTTCTGTGGCGTCCACTGCAAAGATGTCCACGCCCCCAGGAGCAACCCTCCTGAGAGTCACCGGCAGAACGCAGCTGTGGGCAGCACATGCCAGCAGAAGAGCTGCTGGGAAGAGGAAGAAACACTGACTGTGGACAAGGGCGGGGAGGACCCGAGATAGCACTTGAGTATAAGCTCAAAGATGCTTTCATTTTATTTTCTCTTGGGTAGAATTTCCTACTTTGCCTCACCCTATTTTTCAACTTTAAGTGTTACATACTAGTTATTAACATCACAACATGAGTACACCAATATCTGAATGTAAAAACAAATAATTAGCTCGTAAGCAAAATATTCAAATTTATTTAACTACTGCTAAAAATTTAAATGTATTCCTGTAGAATTAATAAAATAAATATTAAAATACATGTAAAAACAAATTATGTAAGTGCGATGTAGCAAATAAAAGACATTAGGAATGAGGCTAAAGCAAAGCAAATGCAGTATTTAGGTGTCTGTTATAGCACTGTCTGGGCACAGGGTCTTTTCTGAGATGGACACTCAACCAAAGACCATGAGAGGATAAAACCTAGAACCTCTGCTCGGATGTGACCCATGATAGCTCAGTAATCAATTGGTTTCCCATAGTGAGGGGAACAAGGACTATTTCTAACAGGAACTCAATGACTGGCTCTTTGACCTCCCCACCTCCCAAGGGAGTAGCAGTACTGTTAGGCCACAGAGGAGGACTTTGCAGCCAGTCCTGAAAATAACCTGACAAAACAGAGTCATATGAAAGGGGAGGAGGTCCTCCCCTATCAGTGGACTTGTAAAGGGGCAGGGAGGAGATGAGGGAGGGAGGGTGGGACTGGGGAGGGAATAAGGGATACAGCTGGGATACAGAATTAACAAAATGTAACTAATGAGAATAATAAAAAAAAAAAAAAAAAGGAAAAACAAAACAAAACAGAAGGTTAGGGATGGAGAGCCTTTCTGTGTTCAAATAAAATAAAGTGATTAGAAAAAAAAAAAAAAGCCACAAATAGAACACTATTGTAAATTTGGATTTGAACAAACAGAAAGAAAAATATTAGTTTTTTAAATATCTGGATGGCGGCTTAGGTAAAAGATATTATTCCACTGAAGCAAAATGTCAGCTGATAGTGACATTTTCAGAGAGTCATGCAGGAACTAAGAGCTGACCTGCAGATAAAGAACGATACGGAGGGCGCAGAGGTCTTTCTACGCTCTGCAGCCTGTATGCTCACTGCGGCCACAGAAGCCTTTCTCCAACCTGACCTCCTAAGAGGAAATTCAAACTCTTGGTGAAAGTTAGGAAAATCAATGGGCCCCTGTCCTCCCAAGGAATAGCGCACATCTTAGTACTGAACACAACCAAGTGTGCCTGTGCTTGCTGCAAGGCCTGACCACAGACCTCGCTCTGCTCTTTGTGAACAGCTGAACAATAAGCGCGCGCAGCCTACCAAAGTTTGCTGAAAAGCATTTCTAAATACAGGGACTCACGGTAAGCTAAACAGTAAGATGGTTGGAAGTGTTCTCTAATGGATCTTCCTCTACAATTTAAAAGGCAACTTTTCATATCTGACATAAAATCTATAGATATAAATCACATTAAAGGACCATTCTTTCCTGATTATCAATCTCTGTCTCCTTGTAGCATACTACAGTCACATTTGACCTTAAAACATGATAAAAGGAAAGCAAACAGGAATGTTTCTAAAAGATGTAATGATCTTGTCTCTGTTCTGAAGAATATCTTCATAGTGTAAATTGGTGATGTTCAAATCAGTTACTAATAATTTCTATTATTCACTTAGGTGCACACACGTGTTAAGGGGAGGAGCAGAACCCTTGTATTTGTGTCTGACGGCTGACTGGAGGTAGCACAGAGGCCCTCCCTAGAGTTCAGCTGACACTGGAACTTTGGGCCCTAGAGGTAAAGGGCTCTGAAGCTGCCCTTCAGGACGGGTCAGGCGGGACACAGCACTTCCCGTCGCCTCTGCTTCCCTGCACCAAATGCCACACAAAGGGAAAACTACGCCATCACCGCGGCGTACGGGCATCTGAGTGTAAACCAGAGGAGTGGCCTGAAAGCCAAGTAACTCAATCTCAACTTGACTATTGCAGAAACAATACATTTGTTACTTTGGAAATAATAAAAAATAAAATAAACTTGCTTCTCAGAATTCATTTATTTCTAGTAGGTAAGTCGTCACTGAACAGAAAACAACTTAGAATGTAAGGGCCTAAGCAGGGCCCCTAAGCCAGCTGTCCTCCACCTCCCCAGTGCTGCGAACCTGTAGCTCAGTTCCTCCTGTTGCAATGAGCCCAGCCATCACAGTGCTTTGTTGCTACTTCCTAACTGCAGTTTTGCTGCTGCTATGAAGCGCAATGTAGAAACTGATGTGCAGCCCCCAAATGGGTTGTGACCGTGACCCTCAGGCTGAGAACCACTGCTCAGTGAGGGAACAGAGACAATCTGAACTTAAACTCTCCATGCGGCCTTCCCAACTATTTGCCCTTTCCATGAAGTTCGGGAAAAGTGAGCTGAGAATGAAACCACGTGCTCTGGCTCCCTCCCCAAACTGAACTGACCTCCTCCCCTGGTAAGTTAGTGCTGTCCTTTACAGGCCTTTCAGTGTAAAACTCCTGTGGATTGCCCAGTCCTGCCGAATGTTCCATTCAAAACATGCCCTTCCCAGATCATCAATTAGAAGTGCCTCTCCATTTTTCCTGGCCGATCCAACTGTTAACTCAAAGCATGTGCCCACATTACTACCGAAAAGGCCACCCTTACTCAAGCAGGCATCTTGCAACACTGAAAAACACAGGTTGAACCACCCGCCTCTATCCTAGCCGTGCTATTACACTAGGAAGCTTTCCTGTAATCAGTGACACGTAGTCTTGATTGTTCTCAGAATTGCCCATTTATTCCACTTTAGCAAAACCTCTAATAAGCAATCAATGCACTCACCTAGGTTTCTATTAGTTCAAAATTAAGAGCTTGAAATAATCTGGATAGCTTCTTAAAAACAACCACTGAACTGTTTTTCTAGAAGACACTTTTATAGCTTAAATACATTTATACACTCGATCCTCAACCCCCAAAAGTACATGACTGCCAAAATATTCAAAACACATTTTGTTTGTTCTGCTTTTTTTTGTTTTGTGGGACTAAGAGGAAACATGCAATCTACCACTGGGTTCCTCCTCCAGCCCAAGACCACACTTTATTGCCTAGAGCAAGTAACGTGGACGTCAGCCACGTCACAGACTGACTTTATGTCTGTCTCTACCCTCTTATTTCTAGACAAACACTGGTTACTCCTCACACTCAACATGTCTCCTTGGAATTGTAAAGGGACAAGGAAACTGCCATGTTCTTCAAAAAAAAAAAAAAAAAAGTCTATCTGGGGCTGTGAGATGACTAAGAGAATAAGTGTGTTTGTCATCAAATCTGGCAGCCTGAATTCAAAACCCAGGGTCCACATGTACAGGAAGAGAACTAGCTTTCATAAACTGTCTTCTCACTGAACCACTCCATGTTCATTCATACAAATTAATTCTAAAAAATCTATTCAGAAGACAAGAATGTGAAGGACAAGTCACTAGAGAAGTTATGCCAAGAAAGAGCTAAAAATACAGATCCTTTTCACTCTTTGGTTGACCATCTAAGGTAAAAGGCTATCCTCTTAAGAAGTTCCCACATAAGTGGAAATTAAGAGACTGACTCAGAATAATTTACAGATCTATGAAAAACTCAAAAGGAATAAGGAAAGTTAGGAAAAAAATTTAACAACCATAACAGTAGAACTTAAAGAAAAACTTATGGCCTTAAATATATGAGAAAACAGCTGGGATCAGTAACATAAATGTCTATTAAAAATAAATGACCTAAACTTCAATGAAATAAAGTGAAGAAATTATTTAAATTTAATTTCATGTAGAAATTTTATGTACAAATTTTATTTTCATAAAGAGAACTCAAAAAAAGT